AATGATAAAAACGATAACAAAATAACGCTGAAAACCGATAAAAACCATGAAAACTATACATTTCACACCTGAGCCTCAACTCTCGCGGCCCGGTACCAAACGACTCATGGACCGGTACCGGTCCGAGGCCCGGGGACCGCTGAATTAAGGTGTAAACAAGGAAAAAGGTTGAAATATTTCTGGCTCCTGACTAACTTAATGACACTCAGACTCAGACTGTTTGCTCCCACCAGATGTTTAAGGATTGTTTTTCAGAGTTTTGATGACATCATGGCTTGTATTGTTGGATAAGTGAGGATGACATAACTGAACGGGGGGCCGGGATGATGACCACAGACAGACTGAAAAAACCCCCAAAACAAAACAATCCAAAATATGAAATCCTCCTCAAAAGTCCCTCAAGTTGAATCCAGCGCAGGATCTTTGCTGCGAGTCAAATTTCCTCTCTAATCAAAATAAAAGGAAAAGAATAAAAATGGGAATTTAACAGCAAAGTAACGTCACGCTTTAAAATAGAAGCTCAAAGCTAATCCCAAAATCCAGTAATGACCATCCCCTTGAATCTAATAGCTAACTGCACATAACATTACTTTACATGGTTTCGAGTTCATTATGTGGTGCTTCCTGTGCAGCAATGCAACTTCTCTGACAGGAAGGATATTTTTGGGGGGCTTGCAGCGTAGGTAGACAGGAAGTTGAGTTACATCAATGACTTTTTTAATCTCTACTATGTATAAAACTCAAGCGTTAGCAATTTGTGGCCTTTGCGTTTCTGATTGGTGTCGAGCTTGTTCATCCAGTCTTACTGCGAGGACTGGAAATCATCCGTCTGTTTACAACTAGGAAACTGCAACCTGGCAGATCTGCCGTTTTTAAGCCAAGAAAGTTAAAACACTGCAATGAAATATTAACAAAATCAAGAATTAAACTACGCACACCAAGAAGGAGAATCAAACCTAAAATAGGCCTCGTGTAGAAGAACACACACTCATAAACATACAGTCAAGTGGGTCTTTTCCTAAAGCTGAGCTCTGGATCTCCCTTGGCTGGGAGCCCCGCGAGCCCAGCGCCAGCGTGTATAGAGAGCTTTGAGTAGGGTAAATACTTGGCACAGCAGCTTGTTTATGACACTGGAGACTTGTAAAGTGGAGACCAGGCCCGGCCACATTTTAACACTGGGATTACTTGCAATTAAACCATGAGCTCACCACCACAACAGAAGCCTGTGTCAGGCTTTTAAAATGTATTTGGAGCTACAGAGTGAATACAACGTGATTACTAGTGTTTGTTTTAATTATTTATTTTTTTAACTGTCCAGTAAGCTATTAATAACTAGAAAGCGGTGCCACTTATTCTGTGTCAGTCACTGTGTGTGGAAACCTCTTTAACCCTCTTAGGTCACTTGACTGATACTCGAGAGTCCGCGAGTTGGAGGATGGTGAAATGTGACCTAAGGCTGGAAAAGGCATCAGTGGACACCTTTCCATATCTTATATGCAATAACATAACTGTTGACACCCAAAAACAACCCAAGCAAGCTCCATTTATAGACGCGTACGATGCTTTAAAGAAAACATTTGGTACTTTACGAGTTGATTAACTTGATTTGTGTTGGTTTTTTTTGTTCAGAAGATCTGAAACGACCCTACAGAATAGTCACCAAACTTTAGTTTTATAAACTCACACATATAGCACATGGCATTATTTTCTTTCAGCAATTGCTTCCATATCTCAGCCGTCACCCATTTTATTCACGAGCACCGATTCATCTGTTGGTGTCTGCTCCGAGGCAGCGCAGTGGCTAACACTGTCGCCTCGCGGTAGGAAGGACCTGGAAGATCCCTGTGGCTGTGCGGGTTCTCCCGCTTCCTCCCACACTCCAAAGTCATGCACGTTAGGTTAACTGGTAGTCCTAAATTGACCCTACCATACGACCTGGGACCTGTTCAGAGACTACCCCGTCTCTCGCCCCACGACATGGCATAGGCTCCCACTACCCTGAACTGGATAAGACGGAAATGGATGGATGGAAGGGCTTTTCCCTTCAAAAAAGAAAAAAAAAAAAGTTTATCTTTTGAGCGCACCTGGAAGAAACCGAAACCAGTAACTTGAACTAGTTCTCCACACAACTCTAAAACCCACTTCTCTATTTGTGCAGACATAAACAAACTGGCTAGCTCAGAGTGGATGCTTTAGAGTGGATGGTGCTACAATACAAGCTTTTCCTAGTAAACAATTTACACACTGGGGAAGTCGCTGCACACCAGGACAGTTTTAGTGGAGCAACCTCTCTGAACAAAGCACAACAGAGCATTTTATTTACTTCCTTATCTCACAATGAGAGGCAAGCTCTGGTCCTCAGGGGTCAGCCAGCCATTTTTCAAAAACCTTTGGGCTTTATGTCCATTTCAGCAACAAAAATGCATACTGAGTCGATAAAGGCCCACTTAGCAATACTGTTTAAAAAAAGAAAGAAAAAGGCAGTCATTAAAAGATTGAAATTGGTTTTTGGCGTTGGTTTAAAATGAACTGAGAAGTTAAAGAAATTTTCTCTATGCAGGAAAAACAGCGACAGCAAAAGTCTGTCGCCACTGATAAAAGTCTGCCAGACAAACAGCAACACCATCCTAGAGGTCAAAGCCACACAAAGCACAGCAGCGTCAGAGTCATAAAAGACTCTTTCCATCAAACTGAGGTAACGAATTAAGCTGTTATGCAACAAAATTCCAGTGTAGAAAACATCCCACCCTACCTTTCTTTCTCTTTCCCCATTTACGTATCTCTGACAGTCTCAGCAACAGCCAACCCATCAATCACCCACTACAAAGAAAACACAGAGAACCAAATTCCTGGAAGGGAGCAGACGACAGAAAAGCACTTCATTTTAAGGTGAAAGTCAGAGCTGGGCTGTCAGGATACGGAAGAATTAATGCAACTGTCCTGCAACTACAAAGGAAGAAATCGGTCTACGAGTGATCTCAGTCTACGTACATCTGCAGACAGGAACACTAAAAATTCCTTCGATTATTTTTCTGTCTGGGAGTGGCTATCATTCCTTCGTGTTTGTAGTGGCACACCTTCTACCAAACAGAAGATCTTCTGTTACGGTACAGTGCACAAATTATTTTTGGAAGGAATTTAACGGACAATTTGCTGTAGAGCATCGAGGTTGGACGAGTACGACATTTGTTAAACAGCGAAAAATATCCAAATAAAATGTGACTGCCAGCTCTTCGATGTGAAGAATCACCATGCAATGGGTCGGCATGGCGAT